CATGCCCTGACTTAGATCAGCCCAGAGGTTGTTTCAGGGTTTGATCTGTGAGTTAGCCATGCCCTGACTTAGATCAGCCCAGAGGTTGTTTCAAGGTATTGACAAAATATGAAGTAATTTCTCTGTTTGAGTAGTACCAAGAGAACATGAACTAAGAGAAGGAATCCCCGCGCCCCATCATGAGCACTTTTTGATGCTATTTTCAAAATCTTTGATGTTATTTTTAGAATAATTAATTGGAACGTTGTTTTTTGGCACACGCATACTGCGCATTCTCTACACCTGTTTGTTCATGTTTTCCTTGGTTTTTCAAAAAAAAAAAACTTGAGCGAACAGCGAAAACAAACGATGGCAAATGTGATTCTTTAAATAGCATCAAACGGTGCCTATGATGGTAACAAGCATGAATACCAGAGATTCCTTCTCTTAGTTCATTTTCTCTTGGTAGTATAGTGCGCACCTCATATCCACGTAAAGAAGGACCAAGTACGATAATAGGACGAGTTGCTGGGACTACCTCGTATGGAGGCATGGAGAACTCACTTGAAGAACTAACAGAACTCTGAAAAAAACAAAATAAAAAATATCAGCATTCACATCCTTGGTGAACGCTGTTTGATCCACGTTTTCTGTTTTGCGCACAGCATGGGCTCTTCCTTCGAGTACCGGACGCAGTTTACGTAATTCAATAGAAACAACAAAATAACCCTAGTTTTACAAAAGAACGAAACTAACAAAGAATACAATAGGTTGCGGTACAAGGAGGTAGGACCCACACAGTACGTGACAAAAACCTGAGGTCATATCGTCATTCTTGCTTTCTCTATATACGTTATGTTCAGGAATGTTTTTCCATCTAATGCATAATGGAATTGAAATATACGCTTTTTCTAGAACTCTCGGTCAATAGCTGAAATATTCCCTCATCTAAAATCTTAGAAAACACAAGAGAATCCGGACAAAAATACAAATACAAATTAGCTTATCAAGTTTTATCTCGTAATCTATCAAAATTCAAGACAGTATTCAGTGGTTTTAAGCGCATTAGTTCGATACAAATGGGCGCCAGGAAGAATGGCCTAATGTTTAGTGCTAGTAATATTGTGCGAGTGTAAAGTGGTTCACGAGCGTGCGCACTTACCACCCAGTTGCGCCCATGCGATTTTAAAAGGTTAAATCTTTCCTCAAAAATTAAAATCAATCTTTTGAGATTTCAAAATCATTGTCTATTGTTTTCAAAGGAGGTGGTATGCTAAAGAACCGATCGCCCGACAAGAATTCACCGTTTCAATGTTGCAATACTTAAGATTTTTTGCCGTTGTTTAAATTACGCGCAGAGTTATTACCGATTCAGACCGCAGAAGATATTCTCGATCCATCACCACACTTAACAATCTTTCTCCGTAGAATTCATAGTTCAGTGAATCTTCAAGCTCGTGAGACAAGTCAAAAATTGTAAGCTTAAAAGATCCTTCTTTATTATTAAAATCAATCCAATCTATTATTTACGAGAATCGAGGTCGTTCTGCATAGGAGGAGTTATGTCATGAGATCGCGCCTAAGGTAAAATTCATTCATGCATTCATAGAACGCGGCCAGATAATACGACCGCACTTGACTTTGTGTTATTCAGATAAGAAATATGAATCGTGTTCCTGTATTAATCATTATTTCGTTGAGATAACCTGATTTAGAAAAAAATTCTTGGTAATTAATTCACGGAAGTTCCTACATGTATAAACAATACCACTGATTCTGCGTGGCTCAACGAGACTTCGACAAAGCTAAATCTAGTGTAATAATATTCAATGAATACTGAGTTTGGTTGGGCGATACGTACAGAGATTGGATGATATAATTCAAGTGTTTGCAAAACTATAAATTATAAATATTGGAACTATTAGGTTATTCGATCTACGATTTGTCGAAGGTTGGAAATCGCTCAAATGAAATGCGACGAAAATATAATCTATTATAGCGTATTAGGTAATTGGATCTGCGATTTGTCGAAGAATGGAAATCGTACGAATGAAACTATAATCTATAAATATTAAATCTAGCATATCAGATAATTAGATCTACGATTTGTCAAGAAATGGTAGTTTTCAACATGGAGTTCCGTCATATTTTAAGTAGTAAAGTGAGTAATCGTTGAAATTTGAAGCTGCATTGTCCCGGAAGTCGTTAAGAATATCTTTAGGATTTTGTCAGCGCGTTAATATTCAATCTAGTATTGAATTTATGTAATTTAATTTATTTAGAAACTAGAATCACGGCTAGTGGTGTTAAAGCTTCAATAAAATACTAGAAATAATCATTAATTTGTTCTGAGATTCGCGAATGAACTATTCCAATGAGCACCAACATGGCGACAGTGACGTCACATGTGAATATATTGTGTGGCTGGTCAGCGGCGTACTTTACACGAAATGTTATTTTTAGGAATGACGTTAGTAAAACTGCTCTAAACGTAATAAAACTGAACTTAATAAAAACGTTAGAAATCCAATTACCTATGATTAATTGACTCAAGATTTTTTTAAAGAAGTGCTTAGCTTTGACACCAAAATGGCTTCCGTGCAATCTTAGCAAATCAAAAAACAGCAAAAACACCCACATCCAATCAGATTTTTCATTTTCGGAAGCCATTTGAGAGGGAGGCACGCGTTTCCCTCTTTCGTCTCGACTTATAATGATATTGCGTAGATATTTGGATATTGTCTTTTAGAAATAATAATTTAGGATTTCTCGAATAAATTTAAATACTATCAAAGCAAAACTCCAAACTTTAAAGAAAAATCGTCTTCACTTGTATGAATATTTTATGTTTTTTGTTAATTGCTAATTAAATTTTCGGTAACTTGCTTGCACCCAATAGCAAAAAAATGTTGTCGGGCTCAAACATAGAGAGCGAAACAACAACAGCAACAACGACAGCAGCAACAACGACAGCAGCAACAACAACAGCAACAACAACAACAGCAACAACAGCAGCAGCAACAACGACAGCAACAACAGCAATAGTCCAGTTACATTAGATGTTAGCAAAGTCCACCGCCCTCTGCGTCTAATTTTACATCATATATCAAATTTCTACTATCTGACTCTATAATTAAGAAGATCAATAGATAAGCTCATAGATAACATCTTCAGTGAAAAAGTATAGACTAGATTTAATATATTTGAAGTGACAGTAAATTGAATCTCAATCCCAAAAATGCCTATATAAGTAGCGTAAGTCGCAACCAATATTTGAGTCATAAACTATGTGATGTCATAACCACGTTTTTATATTAGAATGAAGGAATCAAAAATAATAATAATATTAGTAAGATCGTACGATAAGAGTTCAATAATTTTTGCAAAAAAATAATTTTGAGTGTTCTTATATGGCGCATTTTGCAATCGTCTCAATGCGCCTTACATTTGCAGCCAGTCTCAATGACCATCGAGAAAGAATTCCAAGATCATTGCCTTGAATGATCATTGCAAAATAATAATTTTGAGTGTTCTTATATGGCGCATTTTACAATCGTCTCAATGCGCCTTACATTTGCAGCCAGTCTCAATGACCATCGAGAAAGAATTCCAAGATCATTGCCTTGAATGAGTTCAGGATTGTGACATTTAGGAATAAACAAAATAAAGATATGAATAAAAATGAAGCGAAAAGTAAACATACATAGATAAATACTAGTTCACAATCCTAGAACGTTTGCATAACGAACTTGATCGCTAAACTTTGGAAAACTTATCCTTCCTGCTTTTTCTAATATATATTTAAAGTTTTACTCTTACTAATTAGCGAAATTTCAACGCTATAAACCAGAAAGAACAATTAGTCGAGCAAAGGATGAATGAAAGAAAGAAGGAAGGAAGGAAGGAAGGAAGGAAGGA